GGATAGCAGTTAGAGTCCAGAGGTGCTGGAGTGGGTGGTGGGCGTGGTCCCGTGCAGTTCTGAACTGCTTCGATCCCCACAAATCAGGAGGGGCTTTGCAGCTTTGCCAAGGTGGCTCCATCCAGGATGTGTCTCTTAGTATCTGACCAGGAAATCAGGCCTTCCCCTCTGTGGTTTCCAGCATCTTCCGAATGGCCCGTCCAAGAAATCAGATGTCTCTGCCTCAAGCATACTGTTCCTACAGGAAGGTTGGCTGTATACTCCATGGCCAGAGCATAAGGCTCGAGGAGAAATGGATCGTGCTCTCCACGGGGATGGGGAGACTGAGAACAGCTATGTGGCATCAGAGTCATCCCATGAGATGGCTGAGAAATTCAAGGTTACTGAGGACCTGACTGAAGGTGTGTTTTACCCGAGGCCTCAGGCTTAGCCGGCCCTGCAGCTTTACCAAAACTTCCCATCTCCTTAATTGGAAAGACTTTTTCTCACTTGCTGCGGTCTCAGCCTTTAGTTTAAATTCTGCTGTAAAACTTAACTCTCTCTGACTTGGGTTTTAGGTATTCTGTCCCTGCCCCTTCTCTAGACTGACAGGTCTTTCAGGGCAGCCACCAGAACTCTTGCTTTCCTCTGGGTCCTAATGCCCACCCTCCACCATCATTCTTCACTACTCTCCCCTTGGTCACTATGCTCCGGCCACACTGGCCATTTCCAACACTCGAAGCTCGTTCCTGCCTCAACTGTTGCTTCTGTTCAACACACTCTTCCACAGGTTTTCATGTGGCTGCTTCTTATCATTCATCACACAACCTTAATGTCACCTCTTCCCAAAAGCCTTCTCAGACCACCCTTCTGAGTGGTTTTCCCCAACCCAACATGATTCTGTGCCCTGATACCCTGTTTTAATAGCATTTATGACTATTAGAGTGATGATGTCTATTGATTTGTCTCCTTATTAATTTTCTGTGCCTTTGTTCCCCATCCCACTCTACCCCCCACTGCTAGGTTGTAAACTCTACAAGAGACTGGTTTAATCACGTTAGCATCTCTAGCGCTTTTAGCATCTCTAGCGCCTAGAACTTTGATATGCAGGAGCAGGAATTTGATGATTAACTGGATGAATCTTAAATCTCTCACTGCACTTAGCTCAGTTGGTTCATTTAATAAAGCTTTAAAAATTATTATTTCAAGCAAAACGTGGACTTTGGGTGTTTTCATGGGGAAGCATTACAAAAACAAGATTCATATGACAGAAATAACACAGGACTCAGTTGGACCCCAGTTTGCATTCGTAGGGGCACATGTGGGGTCCTGAGCTATGCCATGGTTGCCAATCAGATTTGAGGAGCTCATAAAAGTTTGGAATAAGCTTTTGCTTGTATCCCCTGCTCTAAATCCCCCATTGATGCCCAGTGGCAAACTGGCAAGAAGCAGCTGATGAGAACATGGGGCAGAGAGTGTTGGTCCTGGATCTCTGCCTTGCTCCAACTTTCTAACACCTGTGGGAAGGTAGCAGCTCTCATCACCTGGCCCATGCTCTCCATGAAACCCTGGCATGGTAACCCAGACATGGAGGCCAGGCTGCCACACAGGAAGTCAGGAGAGCTTCAGGGGAGAATGCTGATGATGACGGGTAGCAGCCACTTAGGGGCCAGCTGGAGATTATGCCTGGGTGGCTGGGAAGAGGACTGTGTCTCCACCAAGCTTTCCAGCCATCCTCTGACATTGCTTGTCAGGGGTTTTGCTGCTCTTGCAGGTCTGCATGATGCAACCCAATATTGCTGGCAAGGTGGAGGGCCAATGAGGAATTTCCCCTGTGCAGAAGCATCACCGGCTTCACAGGGTGGTCCCTGGGCTTCTTCGGGTGGTCTTGGGTGGGTGGAGGTTGGCATCCAAATCACAAGTCAGACTGAATCTGCTTTCAAGGTGCATTTTCCACGGGAGATAAAAGTTTCCATTAAAAAGTGCAAAGTAGGCATTAAAACAGCCACGATGGTTTTTTTTGCCCAGAAAAGAACACACTAAAATATATTTTGTGTGTTGGGAAATGAGGGGGCGTCAAAGGGTCAACAAAAGCAATCAGGATCTTGGCGTGTAGGTGGTTTTTTTGGTTTTGACTTCACCAAAAGCTTTCAAAGGTGGGATGATTTGGGCAATGACTATGAGGGGTCTAGTGTGGCTCGCCTTTTTGATTCAGTTGAGTTTTCATTCATCAGGTAGGAACCATATGCTTAGTACAGAGACAGGAAGCCTATCAGCTTCTGTCCTCTTGGACCTTATAATTTGGTGGCAATGTCAACAAGAGTCCACAGCAGTGTGAAGACAGGGGGAGGCAGCTCCTCTGTCTTAGCTACATCTAGGAGCTCAGAGTCCCAAAGTTCAGTTCAAGTTTCTAACCCCTCGACCTCTAGCTGTTTGACCTGGGGCCAATGTTTAGCATTTTTAATCCTTAGTTTTCTCAGCTATAATATGAAGAAATGACATCTGCCTTGTCTGTGTCATGGTTTGTCATGAGGCTCTGATGAAAGAATGCATCTACAAGTCCTTTTGAGCTCATAAGGAGACTTTTGAATTGTTACTGGGACTACCAAGAACTTGGTTTTGGAGTTTTCAATGCTTACTTCTTGTTGTTATGTCGTGACACTACAGGTTATCAATGGGAAGTGACAATCTGAAAAAAACCTAGAGACACACACTGTCCAATATGAAGGCTGGTAGCCGCATGCGGCCATCGAGCACCTGGAATAGGGCAAGTCTGAGTCGAGATGCGCCCTAGAATATGAATTTAGATAAAGAAAGAAAAGACCATACACTATATCATTAACAATTTTTACATTGACTAAACGATAATACTCAAGGATAATATTTTCAAATAAATGTTCAAACATGTTCAAGTGGTATTTTGGATATATTGGATTAAATAAAATAGGTTATTAGAATCAATTACTTTTTTAGTGTGGCTACTAGAAAAATTTAAATTGGATATATGACTCATATTTTTATTGGAAGTGCAGCTATGGAGGCTCTCTTTGGAAACTTCATATGCGGCATACATAATTATTCATATAATTTCAGAGGTATTACAGACCCTGAAAAAGTCCCATCTATGGAACTCTAAAATGACTATTTTAAATTTACTTTTCATGTGCATACATAATTATTCATATAATTTCAGAGGTATTACAGACCCTGAAAAAGTCCCATCTATGGAACTCTAAAATGACTATTTTAAATTTACTTTTCATGTGCATTCAAAATATGCACAAAGAATGTTCCTGTGAAATTCGATCACTTTAGCGAGAACCGTTTCTCTATTCCTCTATGCAGAAAATGGTTCATCATTACTGTCATCAAAGAGGCTGAGTGCAAGGCCCGCTCTGGGGCTCTGTGCCATGCCCTCAGATTGAGATAGGCAGATCTCAGCAGATAGACAACTGGAAGCGTCACTATGGTTGTGGGTCAGACTGAGGACACCTCAAATTCCACTAATGAAAACAATCTTCCAAGGCCCATTGAACAACCACGCTTTCCTCCTATCCCTGAATCTTTTCCCTCTTCATGGAAAAAAGACAAACAAAAAGAAAGACCCATCCCTTTGGTCCCTAGTCTATACCTTAGCTGACCCAACCCACTCCCAAGTCCTTTGCAGTCTTATTCGTGCCTCTTTTGCCCGTTGGGGAAAGGCAGCTCGGAACAGCACAGAAACCTGCCAACAGCCACGTGGGTAGACACAGAATTGGGATGTAAATACAGAGAATTGGGATGTCTTCCCAGGGTTGGTCCATTTCTGCCACACGGCTGCTGCCAGCAGAAGGAAGAAAGTGAGAAAGTGGGGAGCCAGCACCCAGGCCTTGTCAGATCTCAAGAGGGGCAGACATGGGCCACGCCCCACTCGCAACCTTTATTTCACGAGAAGGAAACCGTGAGGTTTGATTGTAAAGGGATCGACCATGGACTCGTTACAGGGGACTCCCTGTGGTTCTTGGGGGAGCCATCTTTTCATGGCTTCCCTTCAAAAGAAAACTGCTAGATGCTTACCAGCAAAAACAAAACTCGAAACAAATGAAGGACCAGTCTATGGAATTTCAACAGTTTGGGTCAGATGTGATTCCCTGCCTAGCGGAGCCAGTGAAATGAACCATTTCCATCCGCAAAGGACGGGCTTGGAATGCGGTCTAGATTCAAACATGGCAATACTGAGGGCTTCCGACTCGAGGCGCTTGCTGGCCAGCCTGGTCCCCAAGCAGGAGCAGCAGGTCGCTGCCCAAGTTCTACGAGTGGGATGACCAGTGGTAACATAAAGGGCAAACAAACAAGAAAGCCTTTCTTTCCGAGAATGTTTCCACTGCAGTAAGGTTAGAGAGTGATCCAGGGGAGATATAAACTAGCCCTTTCATTTAGCAAAATGAAATGCCTATCCACTTGGTAATCTGCGCAGTGGAAGGCTCAGCCAGAATCTTATTTTTAAAGGTTTTGTTTAATTTGCCACCCCCACACCTTTCCTCCCACTGCCTCGCACCAGGCAGGACGAGAAGAAAAGGGACAGTGGCCTGGCGGATGCTGTTACACGGTGCGTCCTTGTGGAGTAGCATCCATGGCATTTATATTAAATAAACACAGGAAATAGGTGAAGCGTCGATGACAGGAAGTGTCTGCGTTTCCTGGAGTTTTGTTACAGTTTTAATGAATATAGATAAATACATGGAATGTCTCAATTTTCAGAGCTGTGTTTTCTCACTAAACACTGCCACTCTTCACAGGGATGGAACTGGGCATTC